ATATATATATATATATATAAATATAAAAATATAGAGGATAGATAGATAGATAAAGTAGATAAACGTTTATATATCGGAAGAAAGGAAAGTGAAAACGCGAAACGAAACACAAAGTAAACAAGCACACGGGAGCATTAACGTGCAGGCGCAAAAGTAAAGGAGATTAAACACGAGAGAAAAAAAAATGTGGAAGAGAGCAATGAAAAAAAAGAGAGAGAGAGAGAGTAATCGCAAATGCAAATAGAAATGTATAATTATCCGTGGTCTCTCTCCCGTCGATGCACAAAGTACAAATAATATAATTAACTTTACGATTATATGATAATCCTGAATACAACAAGGTAATCACGAAATGTACGGCTGGCGTGCCTTAGTTCTTATGTATCACATGTGTAAATAGTGTACTGTAAATTACTGTGATAATATTTATATTACACGTACGTATTATATTGTTTCGCTTAATGATACGGTCCCATGACAGTGTTGGTCGCCGTTCCGTCAAATGATACTAGTTAACCGATATACGCTAACAATTATTGGCACGAGATGTCAGTTGTTTGTGAAACAGGTAGGTATAAAAACCCGCCTGTTTTAGCGAGAATAACCGTTGTCATTGCTTCTCCTCTCGTCGACTCGATGATTTGATAATTTGTACCTTCTATTCTAGCGCGTAGTCCGCCGCGCGAATATACCGCGTTGATAACAATCAGAACGATGAAGAAATGTGGAAAACAAAAAAGAAAGGAATTTCTGTACGATTAGGTAATAGTTTCGCGTGAAACGTTAAACAAGCTGCGTCGAGATGATTAAAGAAACTGGCCTCTGTCAAAGAGGGTATTAACTCTCGATCGAACAACTTTTTTGGTTTCTTGCGATTAGTGACATTGTTATTTAGTAAAAAAAAAAAAAAAAAGAAAAGAAAAAAAAGAAAAACAAAGATCAGAAAATAAGATTTTTAAAAATATGTTTCTTTATATTATTTATGTTCTGGATTTTATTGTTATTTCATCAGAGAGATCTTCTTTGATACTTCTTTTTTTTACTTCTCGTCTGCGCGCGAACATAATTAGCATAAACGAGTTGCTAGATCTAACTTAATGACACTAGATCTAACTTAAGTAGTTTAAAGAACTACATAATTTGTTGTTTTGTAAATAACGTAAGAAACAGCTGTATCATTCGGAAACGAATAGAAGAATAATAACACGATAGGATTTTCCGTTACTTTTTAAGATTTTTATTTTCTCTCTTTGGAAGAGTAATCTGTAATTATCAAAAAACAATAGTC